GGCGCCCCCTGCTGGCCACGTGATGACGGCGCCCGCTGAGGCGCCCCCTGCTGGCCACGTGTTGGAGGTGCCCGCCGAGGCGCCCCCTGCTGGCCGCACGCCCGCGGCCCTGCTTGAGGCCGCCTTTCTGCCCGCGGCCCTGCCTGAGGCTGCCTCTCTGCCCGTCCAGCCCGGTTCTTCTGTCCTGCCCGTCCAGCCCGGCTCTCCTGTCCAGCCCGGCTCTCCGGACCTGCCCGTCCAGCCCTGCTCGTCTGTCCAGCCCTGCTCGTCCGTGGATGAGGCGGCATCACCGGCAGCCACCCCACCTATGTCCTCACTGGCCACCTCCCAAGGAGAAGAGACTCCTGTTCCCCCAGCACTAGTCCCAGTCCCCGAGGAGGTCCCGGACAACCAGCACCCAGCTCCTTTTTCCTGTGAGGAAGAGGAGCTAGAGTGGGACCCCCCGGGGGCCTTCCTGAGGACTCCCTCGCCCTTGCCCCGGCAAGGCCGACACCCCCCACGACCCCGCCTTTCAGTTTCCCGTAAGGGACGGGGACACAGGCGTCGGGCCCGGGTCCCGCCTGCCCTGCCCCCTGGCTCGCCCGTTCGGCCCCTGGCTGTGGCTCGGTGGCTGCCTGCAGGTCCTCCGGCTCCATGTCGGTCGCCTCCGGGCCCCCCTGCTTCGGAGGGGCGTCGGACGGCGCCGTCGCCTGCCGCGGCTTCCCCCTCCTGCCCGCCTTCGCTGGTGTTTCCTCCTGCTCCCTCCGTGTCCCCTCCGTCTCTCCCTCGTCCCATTCCCTCGGCCCCTGTGTGGTTCCCTCCTGCTCCCTTTTCCCTCTCGCTTGCGGCCCTTCCGGCTGCTGCCCGTCGCCTGTCTGGGGTCCTTCGGGCGCCCTTTGTTTCTCCTCCCTTTCTGCCTCCTGTCTCTGCTCCTCCGCCCTCTGTGTCTCCTCTGTTCCCTCCTCGTCTCTTTATCCCTCCTGTCTCTACTCCTCGTCCCTCTGTTCCTCCTCTGTTCACTCCTGGCCCCTTCGTGTCGCCTGTGGGTGTTCCCTCCGTGTCACCCTTTTCTGTCTGTCTGTCTGCGTTCCCCGTCCTTTGTCAGGTCTTGTCGTTTTTCTGGTCCCTGTTCTGTTCTGTGTCTCTGTCCTGTTTCCGGTGTCTGGTTGATGTTTTGCTTCTGTCGCCCGGTGTGCACGCCTTTGGGGGGGGGTTATGTCACGCCCCGCTCCGTCCGCTCCTAATGTGTGCCAAGCCCACCTCGTTACCTCGTGTTCAGCCCTGATTGTTCTCACCTGTGGTTCGTTACCCGTAGCTTGTCTTTTGTATTTAGTCCTTGTCTCAGTCAGTCTACCCAGATCCGTCATTGTATTGTTATGTGTATGGTTATGCGTGCTTCCCGTGTTTGCCTTCTCGTCTCCATTAAAACCCCTGTTTACCATCCTCACAGGAAGTGTTGCGTCTTGGTACGGCAGCTGCACTGCTCAGGACA